TTCGCGGTGCGAATAAATAAGTTCTTATTATTTTTTTTGTAAATGTACGGTCCCATTTTATGAAGAAATAGGCATTAGTACAGACCGGCACAAATAAGTTTGCGTCTGAGTGCGGTCTGGACACGGCAAGGAAGACGCTAGGGAGCTTCAAATATAAATTTGTCGATTTCTTCTTCTGCAAATGCACATGATTTTTTGGGTTTATAACCATTATCTTTCTGTTTTAAAAATGCTGTGAGTGTAAAAAACTTTGAAATGCCAATGTTTTTCTTTATGGTAAGAGTGGCTTTTAACATGGAATATATTGCCCAATGTTGATATTTTTTGCAGTCAGCTTTTTCTTTGAAATATGCCAATAAAATATTATCTGTTATTTTAACAGCTTTCTTTTTTCACGCCATATTTTTAATTGAGTGTACAATCTCTTGTAGTAATTGCTGCACCTTTAGGTTCAGACGGGGTACACACTTCCATCTCTAAATCACTATCACTAAAATTTTAACCCATTTTCCAATTTTATTCACACGTTTTACTTAGAACTTTTAGGTTTTTGTCAGTTTTCACAACTGAACTCCCAGACAACTTGATATTTCGAAATATTTGAAAAAAAAAGTAAGAAATTACTAATATCAAAACCTAATCAAATAAAATATGGCAATATGTATATCAATGTTAGTAGTAAAAAATTTTTATATACCTATACTTCGGTTAAGGAGGCCTTTATAGATCTCGCACATTATATTATACAGAGATATCGAGAATGATTGACCGGATTCTGAACGTACCCTGTCTCAATTGCTATCAAAACTGATTTCCGTTTGCTAAAATTACTTTTTTTCCGTGCGATTTCATGGTGTGCTGTGGCGATTTCACAATTTGACGTTCTGTTCATTGGCGCACGGATTTTTTGGCTTGAATATTATTTTGTAGATTTTGTTGTTACCTGATATATTTTGCGACATTATAAAACAGTATTTTTCAATACTACAGTTAGAGTAGGTGGATATTATACGTGAGTAATTAATTTATTGCGTATGTTGTTCTCTAACCTAATCGGTTTTTTAATTTAGGTTAACATGGCATTTTCATTAGAACATGATAAATTTCTTCTGGAGGCCTATTTTCGTAGTGGACAAAACAATGGTAATGGTTGGAAATATTCGATGAATTCGTGTCATTTACAATTTCAAGAACAATTTCCAAATGATGAAATTGATTATGAAATTTTTTCGAGACACGTGAAGAGATTAGTGGAACGCTTCCATAACACTGGAAGTGTTTGTAGAGGAAAATCTCCAGGCAGAAAGTCTATTCTTACAGAGGAAGTCTTGGAAGATGTTGAAAACCGCTTACGAGCTAGTCCAACCAAATCACTACGTCGGTTATCTGCTCAAACAGGTACTTAATAACAAATATTTATTCTAAAATTTGTATCATTATTCCTAAATTGTTTATAGGAATATCATATGGATCATGCCATAAAGCAGTAAAGAAGTTGCATTTTCATCCTTATAAAGTTAGTGTTGTGCAGGAACTACTTCCGTTAGATTTTGGAAAACGTGTGCAATACTGTAATTGGTTTAACGAAAATCTGAATGACGACGATATTCTAGATCTAACATTTTTTTCTGATGAAGCGTGGTTTCATTTAAGTGGGTACGTAAACTCCCAAAATTATCGCTCTTGGAACACAGAAAACCCTAATATTTTGCGTGAAACAACTCTGCACCCTATTAAACTTGGTGTTTGGGTAGCTATGTCACGTAGAAGAATAATCGGACCATATTTTTTCCGTGAAAATGTAACTGGGCAGGTATATCGGCAGCAAATATTGTTACCATTTTTTGAGGAACTTCACGACGATGAAATCCATCATGGATACTTTCAGCAAGATGGCGCAACAGCTCACACCTCTAACGAAACTTTAGAGTTGATTAGAGAGTATTATGATGATCGAATAATTAGTCGAGATAGATGGCCACCACGTTCTCCTGACCTTACACCCCTAGACTATTATTTATTTGGTTTTTTAAAAAATTCAGTATTTGCTCAACGGTTACACACGATTGAAGAACTTCAAGAGGCAATTACAAACGAAATTAGGAGTATTACACAAAATGTTTTACAGAATGTATTTAATAATATGAAAAGAAGAATTAATACCTGCTTGAACAACAATGGACATCATATTGAACATTTATTGTAAAAATATAGATATTTTTATGGATTTTATGTAATTTTAAGGTAAAATATTCAATAAAATGTGAAAAAATTCCAATTACTCTGTTATTATATATTGCATGTAACTGTTGTTTATTGCTCTCGGTCATACAGACAATCCTACCATCTAACATAATCAAGCACTTCCAACTGCTTGCATTTGCTTGAAGCAAATTTTTTTAAGACACTTTTCCTGAATTTCGACAGCTAACTAAAATGTTCAGCATAAATTTTTGGGCTGGATCGCTTGCGCTGGATATTCAGAAGTGTGAAAGCAGTAGCTGCAAAATAGTCGTCTTATAAGCATACAGCAGTTTGCTTTGATGAAAAACAGCAGCTTGCAGCGTATCGCTGTATAGCTGAATCGTCTTAGATGCCAAGAATGTAGCCACAATAGTGCTTCTGTTTTAAAATTAACTCATAACGTTTTAAAAATAAAATCGCTGAAGCACTTACAGTCGTTATTCAAAATTAGCTACATCAAACTTTGATTTAAAAGTTTTTCTAATTGTAAATGAAATAAGAATTTTGGAAAAGTTAGGCTAAACCTACATTTGATTCTGTCATCCTCTTTAATAATAATAACAATAATAACATTTATTGGTCCATCAGTATTGCTTAATTTGTGAAATAACTTTGATTTTTGTTAAATAATTGATATTTTTATTATGAATTTCCATTTTGACAGTAACCTAATTTATTTGACGTTTGAACGTAATTATTTGTTTACCATTAAAATCCCTCAACCTGCGCTCATGATTCTAGTATTGGTATCAAAAACTGGTATGCCGCACATCAAAAATCAGTATGAGGCGGCACGGTCAATCATTCTCGATCACCCTGTATAAAAATGCGCGGTAAATATCCTCACAGTAGGCCCATCGAGTTTGAGGGACCCTGTACAATGAAAAAGGTTGGCGTTTATTATATTGTTTTACTTCATTTACTTCGTGATGAACGTGGGTTTTTAATTTTAATGGCTATAAACTTACTTAAATTATTATTTTTAAAACATTTTGACGAATCGCTCGATTGCGCTTGTTCATTTTTTCACACGGATCCATCCCCTTGCTATAGCAAATCGGTTAAAAAACTGGGGAAACCTAGAGACAAATCTCGGCGAATGACGTATGCAAACAGGGAAGCACCCTCCGACCCCGACTGATTACCAATAAAACACTTTCTTAATAAATAGTGTGATTTTTCGCGGGGCTAAGCGCCTCTCCTAAAAAATTGCACAGCGAGAGGAACTGTCAGACAGTCGCAGTGTAATTTGTTCCCGCGTCTGATTCTCCACAGCGGCAGAGGAATTCTTTTCCATTACGGGCGATATACATCACGCATATCCTTGCATTATTTAGTGCCCGGCGCAAACTTTCACCCCAAAAGTGCGAAACATCGGCGTAATAGCCTTTTCCAACACACAAATTTGTGCAAAGTTTTACAATTACCGACGGGAAGTTTAGTAGTTAGCGTTTGGGCGGACGCTTTATTAACCTCGCAAGAAACAAGCTCGTTCAGACAATGAGCTCTTAAGGAATGTTTTTCGGGTCTGCCGGCTCATTTTTCGTATGCAAACAGGTCGCTTTACTCCGCCGATTTGGACGTATTTACGACGCCGTTACGACCCGCCTCCCTACAAAGTGAATTAATAATATGATAATTATTTTCAACTTCTCCTGTTTGAGTTCCTGCGATATTTGTTTCGAGCCATATTTAGTATTCAAGTTTTTTATAAATGTGCTAGTCGTAATAGAAACAGTTACCTAGTAACGATAAATAGTGACTTTTTCAACTAGTGCCTCAAACTTGATTTCAAATCGTTTATTATTTTGGGTTTTATAATATTTTTTACGTTTCATCAAAATTTTATCGAAGGAATTAAACAATTCTAAAAACATGTTCATAATAAGCTACTACAATAAACAGACTGTATCAAAAAAAACTCTAACACACCCTTTTCAAGACAGACTCCTGTCAAAAAAGGGTACATTCGATGGTGACCTTGACACAAAAGTCAACTGTAGAGGTCATTTGAAGGTTAACTTGGATTTTTAGATATGACAGATATATCTGGCGCCGGAAATGAATAAAGCGGAAAATTTTACATCCAGATATGTCTTTATGTTACGGGACAAAGTGACCCTTAAAGGTTATTTTAGTGTCAAATAATGTTCTGAATAAGATTTTTGCGATATTTTCCAGGAAAGCACTTACGACGATGATGACCTTGACCATAACCTAGAGGTCAAGCTTGAAGGTTCTTTGAAGGTCAAATCAAGTTACGAAATAGGAGAATGGGTGTAGAATAAGAAACCAATTTGCTGGTGCCCTTGGATTTGACATTGATCTTATTTGTGACCTTGCCCTTATGTTTCAAGGTCAACTAGAAGATATTAAATTGAACAGTCAATTTTTTTCCTGTCCCAGATAATTTGGAGATCAATCTCATTTTTCTTTGAATAACTCGACAAAATTGAATTGTGGAGAAAAATGTTTTCAAGCAATTTATAGGATTTTGAATGACTTTTGATTTGACCTCCACTACAAGTTGCAAAGTCAAACTAAGGTCAACTTAATATCAATTAGAGTACGTTATTTTATATGCCAGCGCAAATTTTACGTCGCAATCTTGGATCAAAAAATTTTTCCATGATGTCCAAGTCATTTTGATCCAAGGTCAAAGAGATCATTTTTTTTGTATAAAATTAACACTAATTATGACTTTTTTTTTAAATTCCTTTGGCCAATATATTGAATCCCTTTTCTTTTTGTTTCAGAGAGACGCACTAAATTTGGAACCCACCAACGTTGCCAGCTGCGTTTCAAAGGGCAAAACAGAGGTAAGCACAAATAAATCACATGTTTATATTAAGTCTCAAAAACATATAAGCCAAGAAATAGATAGGTACCACTTAATATTATAAAACTGCACATAGAGGCCCATCTGATTTCAGCTAAATACTTCCAGTACTTAAAGTAGTTTTTAAGAAGACAGAAGCAAACTGAGTTGGAAATATCATTTTTTCAAACTAAACACCTGACTGTACGCTGAATGAACAAAAAACGATTACAATGATGTGTTTTCAGTAACGAAGTTAAGAACGAAATTATTTAAATAATCGACAAAATTTACAAATAAAAGACGTTCTTTTAATGAATNAAGTTCACCTATTTTTTTACGGTGCTTTCAAAAATGCAGTAAAATATAGGGTGTTCCATTTAAAAAAACATAACTTTGATATGGTACGCTTTTCCTGGACACCTTGTATATCTCAAAATATTTTTAAAATGTAGCCGTAATCAACCTACACATACCCACCTAAACAGGTTTCTGTAACATTTGCCGTTTGGTCACTAGCGACCGAGGCCCACCCTGTATAATCACCAAATATCAAAACTTCCACAAATTTTTCCTGGTAAATTCACGTAGTTACTGGACTATTAGTGTAAAGTACGGTACGAGTTATTTAGTGTCAAGTGGATATTTTTGCATACATCTGTGTAATAGCGAATATTCAAAACGTTTCAGAAATTTTGTTAGAAACTTATGATTCTGACATTAAACACTGGTTTAACTTGAGTAATAATTTAATACTGTATCAGTTACTTCACCCATATTGATTTAAGAACTAAAAAAACCTTTTCATCGAGACAATTTCAAATTAAAAAGAAGTATTCAGTCATTTACAGGTATGTATAGTTAAAACTGAATTAAAATATTTAAAATTAAAAAACTTTTTATAATTATCCAGTCGCTGTTGCTATATTAAAGTTATTTATTAACAATAACTTGTGTATTACTTTTTTTTATAATACTGGCATTATTTTTCGATTATAAAAAGGATAAAGAAGATCGATTTGTGATATAAAACATTTGAGATGTTTAAAATCTATATCGTCTTTAATTTTGTTTGTTATTTCACTTGGAGAACGCCAAAATTACAACAATGACGTATTCATAGTGCCACGCCAAATGACCACCTCTCGCTAATGAATATCTCTGAAGTGCAGTCATCATTATACCCATCAGTCAAGCTCCGCAACAATATATATGCTTCTCGAATATCCATACCTCGCATGCACATTTCCAATTCCTACATGTTCGATTGTGACATGAAACTTAATAATTTCGGAAAGCCACCGTTAAGTTTTTGTTTCCACTTTTTCGAGTTCTCTGACTTTAATTATTTAACACCTTTAAAGGAACACCGCATTTTTTTCTAATTAATTCATATATTCACGACAATTAAATCCATCCGACTGTCGGAAAACTAATCCGAACTTAACGGGATCCGTACCAATAAATAGGCATTAGCACTTCCGGATCCCCACCGCTAAGCTTGTTATTAATTTTATCCCATACGTGCGAGCTGGTAGTGCGAACTATTTCCCCGGGAAAACGCTCCGAGTCGCCGGGATCCGGTCCAAAACACATGGCTGCTCGTCGTCGGAAAGCATTGTTCCATCGGATCCTGAGAGCCCACATTAGAATTACAAATAAGGTCAGAGGAGCGGAGTTAAAATTAATTTCAATTTCATGTCAGGGAAGCACACCATTTCGAGAGACTGATTGGGGGGCTGCAATTAGCAAATAATAATATTTGGCGGCAATATTGGTATGCTAATCCATTTAATTAACCGAGACCGTTCCGTTGATTTTGGGAAAGGATTGGATTGTCGGCGGGAAATCGTTGCAGCGACGTGCGCGGGGTGTTTCGAACCCTACGGATTCATCAGTTCATTCACTGGCAATGAGTCAACTTCTATGAAATTCCCGAAATTACTAGAGGTACGAAAAAACTGATATTACCTTTTCGACTTTGATTTTAACGACAAATTCAACTGCTTCAATCAGTATTTTCATTTGTTTCGAGTTAGAGGGCAGTATTGATATTTGAAATATTTTCATTCATGTCTGCCTCTACCTAGTTTCACAATCAGCTAAAAAATGATTTATAGCTCATAGGCTATTGATTTTGTCATATGGTATGGAACTACAACGTTGATGGGTTTTTATTGCATGAATCATTCAAATGGTTATTTAGAATGAAAAAACCGCGGAGTGCTATTAAATTAGAGGGTGGAAATTGGAGATAGGGGTGTAAATGCAACCCTTAAGGTTATTTGAGTATATCTCGAAAACGAAGCAAAATTTGAGGGTATTGCATAGGAAAAATTTTGCAAATAAAGAGATTTTCGATCGAAAGAGCTTATTTTAAAAAATTATATACTGCAAAATATATTAAAAACAATTTAACAAAAAAAATGCATAAAATTCAATTTTTTGTTTTTTTTTACTTTTATGCAAATAACTTTTTTCTGGGCAGAGATTGGTCATTGCTTCATAGAAAAAAAAGTATATAAAATTTCCTACAAAATGATGGGTTATAAAAGCTTTTTCGATGAAAATAGAGTTATGGTCGTTCAAACTTTACCTTTTTTTCGCTTTTTACTGAATTTATGACAATATTGTTATAGTAAGTTGTAGAGCATAAAATTCTACATAAAAATGGTCTATTGACTTTTTCTTGTACTATTAAAATTAACAGAATTAGGGAGACTATAAATTAAGGGATGATTTTAGAAATTAAAAAAATCATAACAAGCAGAAAAATGAATGAATTTGATAATTTTTTTTTCAATCTACTTTAAAAAATGTAAATTGTCTTCAGAGAAATAGATATATTTTTTAATTTTTAATAAAAAAGTTATAACAATTTCACAAAACGAACCTGATTTTTTTATATTTGTCGTAAAACAAAATTTCGAAAGCAACTTTTCATTATTTTAAATATTCAATCTAATGACAGAAAAAATTGTTTTAGTGTTAAATCATAAAAATTAACAATGAAAAATTAAATTGAATCTATTTCTCTGAAAAGATAGTTTACATTTTTTAAGCATTTTTCTGCTTGTTCTGATTTTTTATACTTCTGAAATCATCCCTTAACTTCTAGCCACCCTAACTTTGTTAATTTTAACGGTACAAAAAAGTCGATAGACCAATTTTATGTAGAATTTTATGCTCTACAACTTTTCTAAGATTTTTTTTTCCTAGTTCTTGAAAAAACCCATTATTTTATCTTTTTTCACCCCTGGCCGAGGGTTAAAAAAATTACTGTTATTATATACCTCAAACTAACTTATATCAAAAATTCAGGCAAGTTGACCAAATTGCGATTTAAGGGCCCATTTAATTTCATTAATTTTATTTTTTACCTAAAATATAAAGTTCACTAAGAATACCTGACATTCATCTGTTTTAGCCAAATACCAGTTAATTTAATGTAAAAAAAAAGTATGCTACGATTGTATTTGGCTAAAATGTTCGTTTCAGACAAAATGAAGTAAATCAAACTTCACATTTTGTAAAATTTAAACTTTTATACATTTTCTTTACGATTTAGATCTTCTATTCGAAAGTCAAAGCCTACTAATTGTAAGATATAGCCCTCTAAACGTTGTTTTGCGGAAATATATTCAGAGTACTACATCTCATTAGACACTGACATTTGAATAGAGGTAAAGTTATAATCAGATTGCCAAAGAATATACAGAGTGTTTCAAAAAACTTGTACCAATACTCACGTGAAGGAAATACGATAAATAATTCCTGTCAACATTAATCCAATCTTACTTCTTCATTGAAAATTAATTGTTTAAATTTACGTTAACACAATCACAATAAATATTCACTATTTAATCACCCAAATTTCATTCGAACTATAGTTGTTACGGAAGAAAAACCGAAAAAATCTCATATGTTATGAATTTTTTGTATTCCTTTTGGATTAAGTAACGTCCCTTCGAGTAATAACATATGTTTTTTTTAAACTGGTTAAAATATTTATAAGTCTAGCAAAAGTTTAATTAGACTAGGCGATAAAATTTAAATTCGTTTTTCTCTAAAGCAATACACTTTAGCGACATACAACAAAACAAAAGACTGTTTCAATTATTCTTAGCGAACTCTAATAAAAAATCAAGCTCATATTCGGCTATGAATCATTTCATACATGCAAAATTGTGCTAAGGTAACTGTTTCTAAATTTATTACATTTTCGTTAAAGGAAGCTACCTTTGAATATAACCCTTTTCTTTGGAGGCACCCTAATAAAATTGCGATATAATTGAACAGTGATTACAAGTGAAAGTGAAACGTTAACAATAAAAAAATACCCTATATCACTTTCCTTTCAACGTTCTTTAGTCAGTTTTATTTGTAGACGGAGCTAAGTTATTCTTATCGTGAAACGTCTATCACTTTTACTACTCCTAGCAAATATTGCCTTTTCGCTATCGTCCTACAAAGTGATCCCACCGAGACATTGATAAATATCCTCTGTCTGTTGAGAAATTTGGCGGAGGTCTTTATTAAAAGACCCCGTGCTTGTTGATTGAACTCGTGGATGTCAAGAAGTCGAGATACGGGAACATAAATATTTAATAGGCTCCAATTTTAGATACTTCGCGTTCCATGCAAAACTCGAAGCATTTTCCATAGCGCTGTCTATTGCACTATTTTCATCATTAAAGAAAAAATCACGCACAGACGTTTTTACACTTACTTTTGTCAGTTTGATCTAATAGAACCTTATGCATACTTCATTTGTTTAATGTAATTTACAAATGGATATCCTGATGGAGTTGATATACATGCAGATTTGAATTCCTTCTACAATTATTATATTAAAAAGGGAAATTTAAAATGCTTTCTCTTGACGTTGTTCAAAACATGGAAAATATATTCTTTTAACAGTTTACGAATTCACTAAAACTCCTTGACTACAAAAACATAAATATGACATCCATCCCCCTTACAAAAAACCATTAAACTTAC